GAAGGATCTGAGAGTTTGAGCCCTTGGTGCAATTGAAGAGGAGTTGTAGCCATTGGGGAGGAAACTGGTTTAGCCTCAGCCATGCCAAACTTATCTAGTAGGTCACGAATATATTGAGCCTGGGAAAGAAAAAGGCCTACAGGAGTGAAGATAGCATTAACTCCCAAACAATAAGTAAGGGAACCAAGGTATTTGATAGAGAATGTGTTGCTTATCAATTGAATCAAAGAATCAATCAACTATGGATTGCTGTTAGTCACAATGATATCATCAACATAAACCAGAAAATATAAGCAATTAGACCCATTGCGATAGATAAAAAGAGATGTATCTGATCTAGAATTCTGGAACCCATGAGAGAGTAAAAAGCTTTTCAACTCTTGAAACCATGTGTGAGGAGCCTGTTTGAGGCCATAGATAGACTTCCGAAGCCGACAAACATGCATAGGTAGACTAGCATCAATGAACCCGAGTGGTTGAGCCATAAACAAGTCTTCTCAAGCTTTCCATGGAGAAAAACATTGTTAACATCTAATTGTCGAATAGACCAATTCTGAGTGATTGCCAAAGAAAGAACAACCCGAATAGTAACAGGTTTAATAACAGGGCTAAAAGTGTTAAAGTAATCAAAACCAAGCCTTTGATGAAATCCTTTAGCCACAAGATGAGCTTTAAACCATTCAACCCTGCCTTCCTTATTCTGTTTAACCCGGAATACCCACTTGCAGCCAATCACATGTTGATGGGCATTAGGTGGAACCAACTCCCAAGTGCCTTGGTTAACCAAAGCATTAAACTCATCAGACATAGCCTGACGCCATTGAGGATGTTTCAAAGCTTGACTAACACAAGTGGGCTCTAAGGGTGGATCAATGGGATGTTTAGTTGCAGTGAATAAGGTTTTGGGTTTGAAAATATTGTGTTGAGATCTAGTAGTCATGCCATGAGTCCGAGGAGGGATAGGAGGCGGGTTTGGTGCTGGAGACGAGGTGGTAGTTGAGCCGGAATGGGGGAGAAATGGCACTGGCCTAGGAATTTCTAAGTGTTGGGTGTGTGACAGGAGAGGAAGGCAAGGTTCTAGTGGATGCAGGTTCGATATCGAGAGAAGGGCTGGAGGTGGAATTAGATGAGGGTGAAAGAGGAGCTAATGGTGTCAAGGATGAGTCACCTATCGGGGAAACAGGGAAAGGGACAAGATCATGGACTGAGGTAGAAAGAGATGGAGGGTTGAGAAAGTTTACTTGATTAACAACTGTGGAGGCCGCACTAGAGACTGCTGCTTGAGGGCCAAATCCAGAAGATGGCGAAGCACCGACAACAATGGATGGGTCGGCTGCAACAGAAGGTGTCTTGTGAAAAAAGAAGTTGTACTCATCAAAAAGAACATGACGAGAGACAAAAATTTTCCTAGTAGAGGGATCAAAGTATTTATACCCAAGATGCTCAATGGAATAATCGAGAAAAACACATTTTCGAGAGCGAGGTTGTAGTTTATTAGAATTATAAGGACGTAACCATGGGTAACAAGTGCAACCAAAAATCCAAAGTTTAAGATAATTGGGTTTAAGATGAAATAATTTTTCAAAAGGGGAGGTACTTGTAGGTACCGAAAGGCGATTAATAAGATATACAGCAGTTGTGAAGGCATGACTCCAAAAACATGGAGGAAGTGAGGCAGCCTGTAATAGTGTTAGACCAGTTTCAACAATGTGGCGATTCCTACATTCACTAATTCCATTTAATTCTAGTGTGTAAGGTGGGGTAGTAAAGTGTGAGATGGCAGTTTTTTGGAAGAAATCACATAAAGCAAGATATTCCCCACCACCATCAGAATAAAAGGATTTGATTGTGGTACCAAATTGATTTTTAGCTAGAGTACAAAATTTTGGAAAAATTATGACAACTTCAGATTTTCGTTTAATAGGAAAGATCCAAATATAACGACTAAATAAATCAACAAAAATCACATAATAAAGGAAACCATCAATAGACATAGAAGGAGTTGGGCCCGAAACCTCTGAAAATATTATTTCTAAAGGTTTATTGCTTGAAATAGAGGAGGCTCCAAAAGGCAACTTGTGACTTTTGGCACAAAAACACGGCTCACACAAAGAAGACCTAAATTTATTAGAAATGGGTAAAGCAACACTACTAATAATTTTATTTAGAGTTTTTGATGAAGGATGTCCCAATCTTGCATGCCAATCCAAGGGGGACGTTCTTTCACCAATTAATGCCATCGGACTCAATTTATTTGGATTTTGAAGGGGTAGACAGTACACGCCATGCTGATTGGGCCCTCAAAGAAGCGTCGTCCCTGTAGTGCGATCCTTCACAAGAAAATAATCAGGATGAAACTCAACCAACACATTATTATGTTGACATAATTTGGAAACCGAAATCAAGTTACAAGAGGCATGAGGTACACAAAGAACATTTTTTAAGGTTAAAGGCTTAGTGTTGCCTAATAGTGTGGTGTAACCCACATGTGAGATAGTCAAACCTGATCCATCACCAATGAGTAGTTCATCAGACCCATCATATTTTGAGTGAAGTGCTAAGGTTGCCAAGTCAGGAGTAACATGATCAGAGGCTCCAGAATCTATCCACCAATCACCCTTCTTTGAAGTGGAAGTTGTTGCAAAGTTGGCAACATGAGCATGATTTTTGAGTGCAGGACAGTTTCTGGCAAAATGTCCAAAACTATTGCACAATTGACATGCATTAGCATTGTAACTATTATACCTGTTGGAGGAATTCCAATTATTTTTTCCTCCTTGGGCTCCACAAGTTCCTCGGGCTCCTCGACGACCCTTTGGGGCATACCCATTAAATTGGCTGTTGGTATAAGGTGAAGCTGTTGCGTTGGGCTTAGAAGTCCGATTGAAGTGTGCTTGGACTCCATCATAATGGCCACCTACTGAGTTCCAAGCATTGAAGCCACCATAGCCGCTAGGATTTCCAACAGTACGAGGATGCACAAAAGCAAATTGTGTTGTGATTGGTGCCTTGGTATCACCAACAAGAGCCTCCTTTCTTTGTAGAGACTCTTCATGGGCTAATAGTTGATCTTGTAAGTCTTCAAATGACAATGGGGGCTCGTCACGGGCTCAAATTGAGGCCTTGAATTCCCTGTATTCATGTCCCAAACCGTTAAGAAGATAAACTTGAATGTCAGAATTGCTTAAGGGTACCTTTTCTGCATTTCCAATCCGATCAATTAGGATTTTTATAGTGCGAAGATATTTTTCTACCGCTCTACCTTCACACCAAAGGTTCTGGAGCCTTTCTTTCAATGCATTAACTCTCGTACGACAGCTATTTGCATAAAGCCTTTCAAGTATCACCCAAGCTTCATGCGAGGTCTCAGCACTAGATACATATGGGTGAATGGATTCTGATACTGAAGTCATAATTGCGTGTAGTATTGATTGATCTTGCCTCACCCACAAATCATATGGTGAGTCGGGTATGTCATCTGCTGGAGGACATGGCCTGGTACCCTGCAAAAAATCAGTCAGTCGATAAACTCGGGGCAATGAGGTAAACTGTTGGCTCCACATGGTATAATTATCAGAGGTGAGTTTGACTGGGAATTGAGCAGCAATAAAAGCTATGATATTGTTTAAACTGGTACTGGTATTGATAACAACGGGTGTGGTAATCACGGTTTTGCCTGAGCTTGACTTTTGGGTTTTGGAATTGGTGGTTTTGGGTGTTTCGTCGACCATGGTTGTTTAATGTTAGTCCCGCTTGAGACTGTGGCTCTGATACCACTATTATGACAGAAACTTGAGAATGAAACTGATAATCTTTATTCACATAATTGAGTATCCTATATACACAAGGTCTGCAGTTATTTATGGAAACTAAAGATATACAATAATAGAAAATATATACAATTAAGTGTGATTGATATCCTGCATATAATGCTGATTATATTTGCTGTAATTAGTGCAGATTCACAAGCCAGATTCACGAGCTGTGTTGACAGGATTTGTTTCCATAACAGGGTCACATATGCAAATGAAGTCCTGATGTGGGACTCCAACTCAGGAAAGCTTTCAGACTTTACTTGTCATTTCTCCTTCAGTATTGATGCGCTGGGTCCAAATATTACCAATGATGGAATTGAGTTCTTCCTTGCTCCTGTTGGATTTCAAATCCCACCCAACTCTAATGATGGCTACCTTGGCCTATTCAACAGCACAACAAAATATTCCCCCTCAAATAGGATCATCTCAGTGGAATTTGACACTTACCAGAACCTTGAATGGGATGGATCTTCAAAGTCATGTGGGTATCAACATCAATTCTATACACTGTTGTTTACACTCCATGAGATGCACGTTTCCACATTAGGGATACTGCTGATGTATTGATTACTTATAACTCTACAACCAAGAATTTGAGTGTCTTAGGGAGCTATCAAAATACCAAGAATCCTCAAGAAAATTCAAGCCTTAACCACTTGGTTGATTTAAGGAACGTTTTGAACAAATAGGTGGCTTTTCAGCTTCTACATGAGGTGTAGCTGGACAACATACACTCAAATCTTGGAAATTCAATTCAAGCTTGGATGCTAAGGAAACCAACGAGTCATCAAGAAAGATCAAACTAATTGTTGCTATTGTGGTACTAATGATCGTTCTTCTCATTGGAACACTTTTAGCATATGTGATTATGAGGCAAAGGAAGAAGGTAAATAAAAGGGCAGAGAGGACAAAGTTAACATCTATCACTGATGATTTTGAGATGGGCACATTTGTACCAAGATCTTGCCTCTGCTACTAACAATTTCTCTCAAGATAGGAAATTGGGTGAAGGAGGTTTTGGTGCAGTTTATAGAGGCCATCTAGCTGATGTAGACATGTTGATTGCTATAAAGAAAATTTCTAAAGGATCAAAACGAGGAAAAAAGGAGTATGTGATAGAGGTGAAGACCATTAGTCAGTTAAGGCATTGAAATTTGGTGCAACTTATTGATTGGTGTCATGAAAGGAGTGAGTTCTTGCTTGTTTATGAGTTAATGTCAAATGGTAGTCTTGATTCTCATCTCTTTGGCAAAAGGAGTCCTTTTCCTTGGCATATAAGGTATAGAATAACACTTGGATTGACCTCGGCAATTCTATATCTTCACGAAGAGTGGGAGCAATGTGTGGTGCATAGGGATATTAAGTCAAGTAATATAATGTTGGATTCCAATTTTAATGTTAAGCTTGGTGACTTTGGGTTGGCTAAGTTGATGGACCATGAGTTAAGTCAAATTACAACAGGGTTGGCAGGTACTTTTGGCTACTTAGCTCCAGAGTACATAAGTACAAGTAAGAGTATTAGTTAGTTTAAGTAATATAATGATGATTATTAAGTATTGTCCTACAAAAACTGTAGACTAATTAAGTATCAAAATTAACTAATTCTTTCTTTTTTTTTAACATTTTGACATGGGGCAAATTCGAAACCCGCCCATGGAGAGGGAAATGCACCTATTTAATGGTTAATGTCATTAGGCCTCTAAGGCCATGTGCTAATTCTAATTTTATTTGAATAATTAAAATTAAATTATTTGAATGAACTAATTAACTAAACTAATAAAGAAAATGTTAAATGCCAATTTTTGTCCCTCAACTTAAGGTTTTGCACAATTTTCATCCCTCAACTTTTTTTGCACTTTTTTAGTCCCTTAACTATGAAAAATACACTTTTTTGTCATTCTGTTAATTAATCCATTAAATCTATCTGAATCTGCACATTTTTAATCCTCAACTTCTAATATATACATATTTTTTGTTCATTAACTTAAAGTTGAGAGACTGAAAATGTATAGATTTAGATAAATTTAATGGATTAACTGATGGAAAATTAAAAAAGTACATTTTTCATAATTAAGGGATCAAAAAGTACAAAAAGAGTTGAGAGATGAAAATTATACAAAACCTTAAAATTGAGGGACCAAAATTAGCATTTAACCTAAAGAAAAACTAAACTGATTCAATGGTTAAAGAGCGGGTCTGGTCCTCTAGCTTATATACCATAAGCACCTTGATCCAATAACTTCAAATTCATTCCTTCAGGTTCCTGAAACAGACAGCAACCTTTTTTTGGCAATTCACTCCCTCAAATTTTTAAAGATATTCAATTAAGTTCAAAAACTTTTACATTCAAAAAAATTTTTTTTATATACAAAGAATAAAAATTATGTAAAATATACTAAAAATTACATCTTGTTCATTCAAATAGCAACACAATCAAGGTTAAAATAATAGATTAAAGCATATAAAATGTTTCTCATCAAATAATTGAATAGACATTTTTTTTTATGAAAAATTAACTTTTCAATTTATTAAATTCTAATATAATCCTCTATCTTAAATTAAATATTTAACTTGGTAATTTTCTATTTACAATATCCATATAATATTTCAAAATTTATCATATGTTTGAGTTTAGTCTTGTTTTCAACTTTTTAGTCCAATAATTATAAGAAAAAAAAAATTGTCTCAATAGAAAAATATTTCATACAATTATTTTAATAAAATTATTTCATCCGTTCTCTTTTCTTTCCCTTTTCTCCTTCCCTCCTTTCCTCCTATTTTTTTTTCCAAGCAATTTGCCATGTACTTAAAAGAGGAGTCTAAGGCTAAAGCGGTGAACCAATCAAGCACCTATTTAGCACCACACAAAGACCTGAGGTGATCTAAGACGAAAAAGGCATTTTCAAAGCCTATGATGAGGAATGTTAAGGGGAGTCATTTTCAGTGCCTAAGACGAAGAATGCTAAGGAGAGTTTTCACTTACTCACCAAAAAGATTAAAGATGAGGAAAGTTAAGGAAGCAAGAGCCTTCATGTTAACCATATGTTGAACTGTAATTTTTGTAGATTACTTGATGTCCAAGTAGTGTCCCACAGTCTTTGGGATAAAATTTTGTTAAGATACTTGTTTGGGCAGCTTCGTAGTCCAACACTGTTGAAGTCCTTAACTGCTTCTACACCTGAAAATCCCGAGGATGTTTCCTCGGGGAAAACACTCCGACGCTCAAGTCAGCAATACTCAATATTCTAGAGAGAGAAGCGTAGAGATTAATTACCTTTACTGGAGGTAGTTGGGGGGTATTTATAACCCCAAGTGCTAACATACATTGGTACATGTAAGCATCTAATTGGCCCACCTGGCGTTGCCCACGTGAGTATGTTTGTACTTGCTGTACCGGTGCTCCATCCTTTTGGGCTAATGGGGACCGGCCTAGGCCCATTATGTACAGCCCAAGTTGAATGTTGGGCCTATTCCAACATTACTCCCCCCTCGGCGTTCGGTTGACGAACTGGGTCGAATGTGCCCCATGGCCCAACGTTCGAGCTGGTGTATAGGATTAACAACTCTTGCAGCTCGTGAGCGACCTCGTTAACGGTCGATCTGGAAGGTGGCGCCGGTTACATATCCTGAGGGGAAGGTTCGATCAGATTGTAGTTCTATAACCTGCGCTCCCGGTGATCCGACAAGGTTTGTACAAGTACGACGACCTCATAAGCCTGAGAGAGTACAGGCGAGCTGATATCTGTAACCTCACTAGTGTGGGCTTGTTATATCAGTGAGCTGAAATGGCTCACAAAAGGTAAGCTCGCCTAGTGAATAGTCATGCACTCAAGGTGTTATTCACTATTTCAGCGAGCTCGTCCACGTTAACATAAGCGCAAGAGGACGTGTGACGACCTGAACCTTAAATACTACCGAAGGTACTGAAGTGACCAGGTGATGCTGTCAGTCAATCAGAATGACGAGCTGAGATGAGGCGACCTCAACCACAGAATGATTTGAGATTTTTGATTATTATACTTTATCAGCTCGTGTGTGCAGCGAGGTTAGATAGAGCGATCTCGGATATCTATCGATCTGTGATCTTTCACGAGCTGCCACTCTTATAATGACCTGATAAACGTGGACACCATGACGAGCTGGAATGGATGTGAAAAGAAATAGATCAACTTGTTACGATCTGAATCTTGGGGGATTTTAGCAAATATCAGCAAATCTCTGAAGAGATACGGCTAACCTGGGCGATTGATCTCCCATATCTCTTTGCCTCCCCGCCATAAATGCTGGCTCAGCATTTGAGGGGACGTGACAGCTAAAGCCGGCGCAAGCTATGCAAAAGGGGTGTTAAGTGCATGCCACGTGTAGAACACTAACTGGCGCATCAGAGACACGCGTACGGCAATTAACACTGCCATTTCAGTTTTATTCTTTGCATAACCATTCCCCTTTCCATTTTCATTTCACTATTTGCTTGAAACTTGCTGAGATTCTCTGTAGCGAAGCACTTCCGGCTTGAAGAACAAAGCACCAGACCACACACACTACAGCTACACATCAATTTCAGGTAAAATGGATTCCTTTAGAGAACTTAGAGAGCTATGAGGTAACCAGGGCAGAGAAGAAGAAGAGGAGGGGGTTATATCCGTAGAGCCTATCACGATGATAGTGCCGCCGACGCTGTAAGACATGCCGAAAACGTTAACGCATGAGAGCAACGCCAGTTCGAGCGCTAGGGACAACGGGGGCGACCACCAGACTTCATCGTCCAGCAGCTCGTCCTCTAAGGAGACACCCAGTCGCGAGGAATGGACAGGGAATGTGGTTAGCAATGTCTCAGATCTGCCTGTGATTGGAGAATGGGAAAGCAAGACAATCATGGGTAGGTTGAGCAATCTACGAAAGGCGCCCAAAGACCTGCCCGCTGGATTTAGATTCAAGGCAGCGCTTCATCATGAAGTAGCAGATAGTGTGCCCTCAATAAGTGGGTATAGGAAACTGGAGGAGATGGTGAGGGCGTACCACATTCCCAGGACGATATTGTTCCGGACTGGCGCGCAGAATGAAAGGGCGTGCACGGTGTCACAGACGGGCTGGATACCAGTGTACGTGGACTATTTTGAAGCCGGCCTACGATTTCCCCTGCCCGGGCTAATATTCGACTTGCTAGCGGATTACGAGCTGGCTCTGACGCAGCTGATGCCCAACAGCATAAGGTTCATCATAGGCTTTATGCTGTTGTGTGAGAGGTTGGAGGTGCCGGCGAAGGCGATAATGTTCAGGTCGCTGTTCCAATGCCGGCTGTGTCCCAACTCCCGAGGCACGAAGTGGTATTACCTCTCCGGGAGAGAGAAGAGCCAGCTGTTCAAGAATGTCAGGAACAAAGTGGCAAGGTGGAAGAGGCAATTCATCTTTGTTCGCGATACGCGAATAGAGAGAATAAGCAACGACCTCGCTGCTCGGCTATCTGAGTGGCGTGTGCCGAATGCACACGTCAATTACCCTCAACTGCTGCCAAGGGACACGGATCTCAAGAATCAACTACTAGAACATGCGAGGAGGGACAATTTGATAGACCTAGAGGCCCTAGTTACCTCGGAGCAGCTCACCGTATTCGGGTTTGTCAACGTGGCGAACCTATTCACAGCAGGTATAATTTTATCATATAGTATGAGTTCCAGCTGAGCTGAGTCTTATATATTTGTTTGTGCAGGAGAAATGAGCAGCATACTCGAACGCCAGTGTCAGCGAGCCCAGGGCTCACGAGGTCGTGGAGCGGGCAGCACTTCGCACAGACAGACACGATTCGACGAGCAGCCACCTCCAACACCACAATCACGGAGCTCGTAGCACCGTGGCTCCAGCTCGGCGTCAAGGCCTCGCGCCGAGCAGCGGGTTGAAACTGCGGCCCCTAGTACGCGCAAGCGTGCACGCGAGGAGACTGTTAGTGAAGATGAGGTCCCCCTCATGCGGCGCAGAACGAGTGGGGGGACTCAACCCGCGCAGGCGGCTCAACTTGCGGTCGCGCGCTCGTCAAACGCTCCATCAGCCACGATGCGAGCAACAGCGAAGCCCGCATCTGCGTCGGCCTCAGTGTCGGCGCCCAGGATCGCGTATCCGGACGGCTTCAGCTATGTGAAGCCTGACTGCTAACCCGCCATGGTGCAAGGCATGCAAAGCTTTGTGCCTCCCGTGGCTCGTCAGCAGGCAAGGACTTTCGTGCAGCAGCATGGCGGGCAGGTCGCCATGGTCAAGCTGATGGACGTAAGTATTTACTCGCACTTGCGTAACTGTTTTACTATTCCATTCTAGGGACTTATAGTTGTTGCTGTTTGGCAGGCGTTCAGCTACGCGGTGGCGCTGTTCGAGAGTGAGCAGGGGGCTCGCTCTCAGAATAACGAGCTCAGCACCAACTGCAAACAGTTGGCCGCAGAAAAGGCCAGCCTTGTGGATGATGTCAATTGTCTGCAAGGCTCGGAGATGGCCAATCGAGCTGCTGCAGCGGAGAGCCGAGCAGACGAGCTCGCAAATAGAAATAACGAGCTCAGGGAGGAGCTGGAGCGAACCCACGCTGAAAAGGAAAGCGGGATCTAGGCGGCGAAGGAGGAGGCCGCCCGGGTTGAGGAACGGGCCAAGAAGGCTGAGGCTGAAAGGGACCGTGCTCTGAACGAGTTGGGTTCTCTAAGGCACCAGGTCGCCGAGGCCGACAAGAACCTCAACGTAGCTGAAGGGGCCCTGAACGAACTGAACATTTCTCACGGGCGCTCTGTAAGTATCGCCCGAGCTCAAGGGGCAGAATGGCTGGTAGGCTCGGCCGCATTTCAAGACGCTGTGGCGGTGGCGTCTCAAATGGAATCATACTCAACAAGCATATGTATCAAAGAGTGAGCACACATAAACCAATAATTAATAGTCATGCTAATGTAATTATACTCAATGAATAAATGCAATAAAATAAATAATACCAATTTGAGCACATGAGCGGAGCATTCAAAAACAAATTTCCTTTGCACTTCCACTCCAACATTCTTGTTGAGGCATAAGTCTTTTTAAGATCTACTTTGCTTTTCTTATGACTTTGCCATCAACTTTTCCTACAAAACAAAATTAAGCTTTGATTTTTGGTACCCAAATTTGCTTGGGTCCATGGGGGTTAGTACTTAAAGTTCCTTTTGGAACCCAAATTTGCTTCACTTTACCTTGAGCTATCAATCTCTTCAAAGGACATACGAAAGCAAAGTGTCCATTTGCACCACAACAATAGCAAGTAACATTAACATGATAGGATTGACTTGCTCTTACAAAGGTAATCTTAAAAGTCTTTTGCTTTTTAGAATAATCAAATCCAATGCCCCCTTTGTCATAAACATTTCTTTGAGATTTTAAGATAGAATCAAATTTTTCTTTACTCAAAGTAAATTTGGAAATTACATTTTCAAGATCACAAGCTTTCCTCTTTAAAACCTCATTTTCCTTTTTTAAATCTTCATTTCCTTTCTTTAAATCCTCATTTTCCTTTTTCAAAGTATTATTAAACTCCTCATTCTTTAAAGAAGCAATCTCACCATTTAAAGAGGCATTTTCTTTAACTAAAACCTCATTTTGTTTTGAAAGAGATTCAATCTCATTTTTAAGCAATGAAATGGTTTTAGTAAGAGCAAGATTCTCATTCCCTAGTTTCTTGATATCATTCATAGAGCAATCAAAAACTTTGCATAAATCATTATAAGAATACTCAAAAGAACTTTCATTAATTGAACTAGAGAAGTTAGAGTTTACCTCCTCATCATTGTAGCTATCTTCTTGAGCCATGAAGCAAAGATTTGCAACACCATTCTCCAAGGAGCTTTCACTTTCCGTTGAGCTAGTTTCATCATCACTCCAAGTGGCAGCAAAAGCTTTCTTCTTCATGCTCTTCTTGCCTTTCTTCAAATTGGGACATTCATTTCTATAGTGCCCCATCTTGTTGCACTCATAGCATTTCACACTCCTTTTGGTAGACTCTCCTTCATCTCTTTTTGCAAGCTTGCTCTTGATGTTCTTCTTCATGAATCTCCTCACTTCTCTAGAGATCAAGGTGGAGATGTTTCACCATCACTAGCATCATCTTCACTCTTTTCCTTTTGGTTGCCAGCCTTGAACGCAACATCCTTCTTCTTCTTCTCAACTACTTCAACTCCACCATCAACTTGAACTTCTATCTCATATGTCATCAATTTTCCAATGAGATCTTCAAGCTTGAGAGTGTTGAAATCCTTAGACTCTTTAATTGCGGTTTTCTTGGCTTCCCAATTCTTAGGCAAGCTTCTAAGAACTTTCCTCACCACTTCTTGAGAAGGATAGACTTTACCAAGAGCCTTGAGATTGGTGACTATATCATTCAATCTTGTATACATATCTTGAATGCTCTCCTTCGGTTTCATCTTGAAAAGCTCATACATGTAAATGAGTCTATTGATTTTTGACTCCTTCACTTGGCTTGTTCCTTCATGTGTTACCTCCAACATGTCCCACATCTCCTTGGCCATATCACATCCGGATACTCTATGGAATTCCGTTGGATTGAGAGCACATTGAAGCATATTGATTGCTTTGTTGTTGATCATGATCTTCACCAAGTCTTCATCATTCCATTCTACTTCTTCCTTTGGCACCTCACTTTCCCCAACTACTTTCGTAGGCACATATGGACCTTTCATAGTCACAATCCATGCCTTGGGCACATTTGTAAGCATGAAGACCTTCATCCTATTCTTCCAATAATTATAATTAGTACCATCAAAGAAAGGAGGCTTAGTGGTAGACAAACCTTCAAGTGGTTGAGAACATTGAAATTGAGCCATCCCCGATCAACTCCTAGGTGGTTACACCTTCAAATTGAAGCCCTTGCTCTGATACCAATTGTTGACTCAATACACTCCAAGAGGGGGTGTGAATTGGAGTTGGAGAATTTTCACCTCTTTGCAACCAACAAACAAAAGTTAAAGAGAGAGTTGAGAAGAAGAGCTTGGACAATGATTTTATAGAGGCTCGGTCCAACCACTTGGAGCCTAGTCCTCTACCTTGGCTTCACTCACCAAGGATTTCCTCCACACTCTCTACTAACAAAAAAACAATGGTGGCTTAAAAGAGTCACTCAATCCTTTACAAGAAGAAGGGTTTTTCTCAAATCTCACCTCTTTACACTTTAACCCCAAAGATCCTCTTTACAGATCACTCTTGAAGGAATCAACACACCCCCAAGATCACTCACTAATAGCACAAGAAGAGGATTACAAATAAAGATCTCTCAAAGATCAAAATCTCAAGTTAAAGCACAAGTTGGTAGGTAAAGATATTCAATACAATACTCTCTGTTGACAACCACTTAAAAATGGGATTAAGTGTGAAAATATTAAAGAAAAAGGAGTCGCCACTCGTCCAAATTATAAGGTGGGACAAGTCACCAAAAATAGGTCTGCACAGAGATCGGGGTTCGGGGGTTCGGTTAGGAGTGAGGAAGGGTATACGCGCACCTCACAATCCTCCGTTTAAACACGGTTGCATACTTTAAAATTGGGGTTTTAATTCAACTTATTTATTATGTTTATGTTTGAGTCTTAAAAAGCAAACTTGAAAAAAGAGATAAACCGAATCAAAACATTTTTTTTATTTTTTGGACTGAAATAGACAAACTCAAGAACATGCATACACAATAACATGAACAAGAAGTTAAGGGACTAACTTGATTAAATTCGAAAGATAAAAGACCGATTTG